AGTAGGTTCGTAATGTCAATTATGACTTGTGTGCAAAATTTGAGGTCAACCGGACGTAATTTGATAGGTTTCGGCATCGGTTGTAGAAATTTAAAGTTTCAAGTTCATTAAGTTTGAATCGGAGGGTGATTCGTGCTTTTAGCATTGTTTAATGTGATTTGAGGGCTCGACTAAGTTCGTATGGTATTTTAGGACTTGTTGGTATGTTTGGTTGAGGTCCCGGGGGCCTCGGGTGTGTTTCGGATGCTTAACGGATTGAATTTGGACTTATGCAAATTGCTGAAGTTTATGGTTTCTGGTGTTTTCGCACCTACGGTGGGGTGACCGCAGGTGCGGACTCACACGTGCGAGAGGAGGATCGCAGATGCGGGTTGGAGGAGTTTGCCTTGGGTCGCAAGTGCAACATAAAGGCCGCAGGAGGGGAGTCGTTTCTACGGAAGCCTGAACGCATAAGCGGAGAGGCCTAGGAGGTTTGGGATCGCAGGAGCGGAAGGGTCTCCGCAGAAGCGAGATCGCAGGTGCGATCCATGGTCCGTAGATGCAGAAATGCTGGACAGAACACTTAAATGCAAGGGTTCACGATTTTTGCTCATTTTAAATATTTTGAGCTCGGGTTTGGCGATTTCTTGAAAGTATTTTCGAGGAATTTCTTGAGGTAAGTCCCTTGTGCTTATTTTTATCAATAATCTTGCTTCCCCATTTATTTTTCCACCTAGTTAGTGTGTATTTAAGGTGAAATTTGGGAGTTTGAGGCTAGAGATTTGGAGAGTGAATTTTGGAGATTTGAAGGGCCATTTGGTGTCGGATTTTAATAAATTTGATATGGTTAGACTCGTGAGCGAATGGGTGTTCATATTTTGTAACTTTCACCCGATTCCGAGACGTGGGCCCGAGTCGACTATTTTGGGGTATTTTTCTAATTTCTTGCTTTAGCTTTAATTTCATTAATTAAATTAGTTTTTCATAGTTGTATTTATGGTATGTAATTGATTTTGGCTAGATTTGGGCCATTCAGAGTCGGATATTCGTGGAAAAGGCATTGTTACCGATTGATTGAGCTTGATTCGAGGTAAGTGACTTGCCTAACCTTATGTGAGGGAAATCCCTTTAGGATTTGGTATTGTTGTTATAAGTGAGCGACGTGTACGTGAGGTGACGAGTACATACACGGGCTATTTGTTGTAAAAACCCGATTTTTACTGAGTATCAGCCTGTTTTCCTTTTAATTTGAGTTATACTATTTTAAATGAGTATTAGTCTGTTTTTCATTCTTAATTGAACTATTCCAATATGTGTAGTTATCCTGTTTAGTCTAATATCGCATGTCTACGTGCTTTAACTGCTTATTTGAACTCTGTGAAGCATGCCTAGTTGATTCTGCTTTTCCTTATTCTTTATCAGTATAACTATAAAAATCTTGATGTTAACTGTTGTATTTATCGGTTTGAGCTGTGTGTTTACTTTTGAGACTACGAGACGGTTCCTCGGGAGTTCTCCTTGCACATTTAATTTTGAGACTACGAGGCGGTTCCTCGGGAGTTCTCCTTGCATATTTACTTTTGAGACTACGAGGCGGTACCTCGGGAGTTCTCCCTGTATATTTATTTTAGGACTACGAGACGGTATCTCGGGAGATCCCCTGCTGTTTACCCCCGCATGTTGTACTGTTGCTTTGCTGTGTTTCCTTTTGTTAAATTCCAGTCTCTTATTATATTGTATATTCTCATGCCTTATTTATTATTTACCAGTGGGCCTGACCTGACCTCATCACTACTCGACCGAGGTTAGGCTTGGCACTTACTGGGTACCATTGTGGTGTACTCATGCTACTCTTTTGCACATATTTTGTGTGCAGATCCAGGTACTTCTTATCAGCCCCGCTATTAGCTGAGAGTACTTGCTGTTATACGGAGACTTCAAGGTATATCTGCCGCGTCCGCAGACCCCGGAGTTCCCCTCTATTCTCTCTTATGTCATTTACCTTCCGTACTTCTTTTGCTAGACTCTCGTGTATAGAGATACTAGTTTCCTTCTGTAGCTTGTGACTTATGATGTTCCGGGTTTTGGGAAGACTGTGTATTTATAGAGTATTGGTTATTGTGCATGCCGAGCGGCATTGTTACTAGTTATTCAACTGTCCACTGCTGTTAGTTGTCAAGTTTTACTTTTGTTTTTGTTATTTTTCGTAATTTGTTAGGCTTACTTAGTCGTAGAGACTAGGTGCCGTCACGACGTTATATGGAAGAAGTTTGGGTCATGACAATATTATTCTGACTTCAATAACATCACATCTAAATTCGAAGGTAGTTAATCTTGCAAGGCTTAAGTTGTTCAATCTGCATGGTTTGCATTTATTTTTCTACTTATTCTTCTATTTTAAATCTGATTTCTCACTTTGTATCAAGTTAGATCACATATCCTTAAAATCGCATATAAATTCAATCGTTATTCGATTTTGGGGTAAACATTTCGTAGGAGGCTGCCTGATGGATTAATCTAGATGCAGCACCACTGTTCACAGTTGTAATTAGAATTTATGTAGCTGCTGTTTGCTTACTTGTCCATGCATCTGTAGATTTTGAACTGTGTAGTGGTGCAGAAATTAATGGTCAATGTGAACGAAAAGATAGCAACTTGAATATGTGGTTTTCTTTTCTTAAGCGTACACTTGTTATGATGCCGAATTTTGATTGATTATCTGAATTTGGGTACGTTTATGTAAATATAGGACTTTGAATGGATGAGTATTTTAATGATGGTGAGTTTTGAGTGATACCCATTTAAGATTTTTTTTTTCTCTCTCTCACATGATATGGAATCTGAATTTAGTTAATATATATGCAAAAAGAGGAGTTCTGAAAGATGATTTTTCTTTAGATGTATTTTCTTATTATGGTGACTATTTCCTTTTCAAAAGAAAATCAAAGATGATTTTTCTTCTTCTTATTCTTATTCTTATATGATTATGAGTGCGAATCTAGGAATCAATCTTCTCATTTACCATCAATATTTATTGAAGCACTTCTTGAGATCGTGTCAACAAATATTGTGGATGTAGGCAGTCGTGTGTGTTGCATATCATTGTTGTTGGCAACGCTAAGATCCGAACCCATAATGTTCAAATTCTGAATCCGATTCTGATTATAACCATGCATTCAACCACCCAAAACTTGGCAGCCTCATGGGCGAGTTGTCCAATGTGGTCGCTGCCATATGTTGGGGCATTCTCAGAAGAAATGTGCGTCACGTTGCCTAGTTAATACTTGGAGCTGTCTGTTATCTTATCTATCTCAGAAATTCTCACACAAGTTATGTTTTGTAAGCTGAACATATTTACTAACATGAGGATGGTTGGGTTTCTTGGTGCTCCCTTGCATATATTTGGTAGGAACATGTTCTTCTCAATGTATTTTTAACTAGCTGAGATTCTGGTAAAAATAGTACGGGCTAGCCTTCGGACTGGTAATTGAAAAATAACCAGTTTTTGTAAAGTCATTGAAAAATAGTCATTATTTTGTTGTAACACGGAAAGTTCCCGTATAATATACCGTAGATTAATGCACATGTGTATGAACTTCCAGCATATTATGCTGGAACTCCACAACACGGAAAGTTCCAACATAATATACGGGAGATTGGAGCACATGTATATGAACTTCCAACATATTATGCTGGATCAGTATATTATACTAGCACTCCAGTATGTTATGCTGGAAGTCCAGTATATTATACTGGAACGTCAATATATTATGCTGGACCTCCACCAATATGTTATGCTGGAACTCCACCAGTATATTATACTAGAACTCTAGTATATTATGCTGGAATATTTTTCGGATTTTGAACAGTGTTTTCGTTCAGATTTATCTTTACATGAAAAGTGACTACATTTCGATTACTTTTGAAATTGTGGCTATTTTTCAATTACCACTTGTAAATCTGGCTATTTTTAAATTTCACCCGAGACTGGCAACTGTATTAATAAAAGCCTTTGATTTCAAACTTCTATAGTTGTGATTACTGGTGGCAAAATGGATAAAAGAAAATATTTATCCACTCATATTATCCATTAAAAAATGGGTTGGATAAACAACTTTTTAAAAATGGGTCAAATATGGATAAGAACTATATTATCCACTTAGAAAATGAATAACCAATGGATAACTAATGTGTTTAACTTTTACATTTATAAAACTTCAAATTAAGGGTTCTTCAAGTCTGAGAGATTAGGAATATTCCAAAAGTGATCATATTCAAGAAATAATGGATAATATGGATATCTATATAACTCGTCGGTTAACCCATTTTTTATATGTATTAAATATGGATCGGGTCAGATAATTCTGTTTTTTGTATTACCTATTTTCGGTCCGTCCCATATCCGACCCGACCCGTCCGTTTGCCACCCCTTGCTTTTCCTATGTTAAATTTCAGTGGTGTTAAGAGTCTTTGGTTCTCAAATATTTTTAGGTTAAATTGCACTAAACGCCCACTTAATATGACTCAATTGCAGATACACCCCATGTATTTAAAATCAAACACTTTCTATTACTTGTTAAGCTTACTTGTTTAATAGTTATAACTTACTTGTTTAATAGTTATCCACATATTTTTTTTGTTGATAAAATCTGACTGATATAAATCAAATATGTACCTTAAAATCGTTTAGTAAAAAAAAAAAAAAAAAAAA